AAAAGTAACAGAAAAGCGTAAAATGAGGTTCAAAACAGAGATAATAAACAGTAATGTGATGCAAAAAGATTAGTAATACTGAAAAACAATAGATTTTTACTACTTATAATAAATAAATAAATAATAGAATGCAAACACCTATGATCAAAGACAGCTGACTAGGCGTTTCATGTCTCCAACTTTCAATGGCCATGTTTCACTCTCAACCATAAAGGAGAACTGAGAGAACTGCTTTGCTGTGCAGTACATACGTCCTTTGTTCGATAGCCAGTTGGATATCACGTCTGCTGAGTCAGAGATGTCGTAAGTTGGTGGGCATATACCAGATAAGCCTTGTGTATCCGTGTTGAGATTTCATCAGCAATCAACCCACTGGGACTGGGTGATGCAACTTTCCAAATAAGTGAAGTGATCAACACGCTCCACTGCCTATCTTTAATCTAGGAGTCGATATAGTCCAGTCCTGTAGCATCATGTCAGTGAGATCTAACACTTTTCTTTTCAAACAGCAAGGCATTACTCACTGGGCATAAGAAACCTAGACTATAATGAGACGTCCGCTTAAAGAACCTAAACATGCCATGATGCGACTAATCAATTCAGTTCAGAAACATCAATGGAAAATCACAAGGCAGCCCTTTTCACGTGGTGGATATTGTGTTCCCCACAAAATTGAATGCAAATATATGGCGCTTACAACCGACATGGTGTTTATGCAGGTATACCTAGAGGAATTGGAAAACCCTGATTCCAAACCTACGAAATACAATCCGAAAGGACTGAATAGCGTGTATGAACCTGTTTTAGTCACCAGAAACCATAGAAACGTAGCTTCTGACGCTTATTCACTGCTCTGTGCAGGATCAAACATCAAGTCAAAGGATAGAGGCAGAGTAGTCCTTTAAGACCACCACTACCTGCTTCGGTCTTGACATCCGGGTAGTATCCTAGCCCTCGTACAAAGTATGAGATATTGTGTGGTGCATCTCATTGGTGCTCATAATGTACCAAGTTTTTGTGTTTTAATAATGATAATACTAAAAAGGTGTTGAGGGTTAATGAATATTGCCTGACTACCTAAATAGCGGTAGGTGGGACAAGTTTTGAACCGATGATCCTGTGGTTAAAATGTCGAGCACTAAGACCAATAATTTACAGAACCACACTGAATATTGCTCAGGAAGTCAACAAATATTTTACTTAATTGTTTTTATATGTATGTTTACTCAAACCTCTACCTCAACTTCATCGACTTCGAAAAGGCTTTCGACAGCGTAAATCGAGAAGTAATTTGGAAACTAATTCAACACTATGGTGTGCAGTATCCCAAATCTTTATCAACCTCATTCAACAGCTGACTGGCTATATGGCAATACCACGTGTCAAGTGATCCACAACGGGAAACTCAGAGAGGCATTCTGTTGAAGCGCATACAGGAGTAAGACAAGCTGGCTGCCTGTCTATTATCACCGATGATATTCTTAATTGGATCATGCGTCAGACTGTTGGGGGCGAGGAGTCAGGAATACGCTGGACGACTGATAAGAAGACTCTGGATTTCGCACGTGGATGATATATGTCTAATGTCACGCAAACTCAAAGACTTCCAAGCGAAAACCAACAAACTGGCTGAAGAGGCAGCGAAAAGAAAACTTCAGGTGAACACAGAGAAGAGAAGAACCAATCAACAGCAACAACAACCAGCACCAATCACCACCAACTGGTGAGATTTAACAGAGGTTGCCTACTTCACTTATCTGTCCAGGAAGCATCGTCTCAACTACAGGCGGAACGGACGAAGATGTCAAAGTCAGTCAGAATCGGAAAGGCAAGATACGCCTTCATCAACTTGAAACCAGTTTGGAAATCTTCCGCACTCAGCCAGTATAAAGAACAAGATTCGCATTTTCAACACCAATGTGAAGTCAGTCAGTTCTTCTAAACGAGTCAGAAACTTGCACTGCGTGTGCGTCACTAAAAGGATTTCCAATAGGTTACAGACTTTCATTAACAGCTACCACCTTCACTGGCTGGCTCTATACTGAAGATCAAATGGCCGGCCAGAAAGAATAAGCAACAAGAAACTATGGGAACAAACCAACAGGCAAGAGCCGATAGCTTAACAAATATGCAGGAGGAAATGCAGATGGATTGGGCATACATTGAGGAGGCCATCGAATGACATCACACGCCAGGCCATTGCTCGAGTGGAATCCCGTTGGGTCGTCCTAGGGTAACATGGAGGAGATCGTGTGAGGAAGAGATGAGAGAGTTTGGTCAACCGTGGACCCAGATGAAGAGTATGGCAGAAAACCGAACGAAGTGGAGATGTGCAGTTGAAGCCCTATGTTCCACCACTCGGAACGCAAGGGAACAATAATAATAATAATTACCCAAATGATAAAATGTGCTGGATATCAAGCTATACTCAGGTTCAATGATTACGCAAAACGATAACACTACAGACTACACACGTATTCTGACTACAATTTTTTTTTTATTACAGCTTGATTCCACACCGTATTTTTGGTACAGGTATGGAATTTTCAGCATAGATATTGGTAGCCCAAATTTTGCAGGCCGACCGTTGATATCGGGTGTGCGTCGGCAGGGGATTGAACCTCAGACCATGTGCATGGTCGGCAAGATTTCTAACCACTGTGCCACCGACACCTTTAGGAAACATCCAGTCTCACACGAATGCTCTTCCAATGTACGCAATTCAATAGCAACATTTCTTTGACGTCAGAAACACTGTGGATCCTAGTATTTTCCAGGATATTTCGGTTAATACTGGCTTAATTCATGAAAAACATCCCCATTCGAACATTAATAGACAGAAGATCAGTAGTTCAGTGAAGAGTCTCTTTTCGCCGGCGAATTCATTTTCATAGCTGGTTGTTTTGTATGTGTGTGTGTACATTAAATTTGTCAAACGAAAATACAATTAGTAAGTTCAGATGAATTGGATGTTGATATAAGAGGGTAGTAACAAAAGTGATGAGTTGTCACAAACGATTGTTAAAGAAGAGTCACGTAATAACGTGAATAGTTTGATGAAAGAGTTGTACTCAGAGTGTACATGGAAACAAAATAACATACGGAATCACGTAAGAGTTTTAAGTAGCAGTTAGAAAAATAAGCATACAAACAAAAGTTAAGTCAAATCAACAGTACTGGCTTAGATTTGTCTAGATTTAATGAACGTCGACTGTCGAGTGGTTGTAGCACAGAGGGATACTGTATACTGCTCTGGTCTCTCAAGAGGTTTGGTAATTACCCAGTCAGAGTGTGAATTTATCCCCCAGAAACGATCTAGTACAGCTGAAGGTGTGTAGATTTCAGTCTGCCTCTCGAAATGCTCTCACATGTGGTCACGCGTTCACAGACTCTGCCACCTTTATTTGGCGGAACTGATTCTGACAAAAAACAATGGAAGAGTGAATCTGAACGTCTTACGCTTACAATCAGATATTAGTGGTCATCCCGGTAGGCCTACCTAAGAGAGCTAGAAAACCCTGATTACAAACTTACATGACCTCCAGAATCCGAATGAATCAAATGATGCATATGAACCTGTTTTGGTTACCGGAAACCATGGGCGTATACACTAAAAGTCAAAGGGGTTCGAGGGTGACCCTTTATGACAACCAACTGCTTTGATCTAGGTCGCTAAGCAGTATCATCCCATCCCTCCCTCGTAAAAACTTTGAGATTTTGCCTGACTCATTTACTTATTGGTGGCCACAATGCACTAAGTTTATATTTTTTTTAATAATAACTAAAACTACCCTTCTACACAAAGAAAAATAATGAAGACTAAACTGACTGACTGGTTTCAACGTAGAACTTTGCACCGATGTACAGCAGTTCAAGTCGCCACTCTTCTTCCATGTAGCACACAAAGCAAGAGAAGAAATGCATAATAGAGACAGTAAACAGAGGTGTGAGACAAAAAGAATAGTAATATCGAAGAATAATATAGTTTCATTCGGTATTATAAGTCACAAGGAGTGGATGTAACTGCACCAGCCATTGGCAGTGATCACTGAGCCATATCACCAAGTCTCCAGCCATTGATTTCTACCGTCCCGAGGACCCCAACTAGCCAGTCAGGAAGTCTACACCTTCCTACGTGGCTAGCTTAAACTAACTGTTGTGGACTTCATTGACTCATGAAGCCACGTTTTGGTTTGACCACCACTGGCTCTTTTCCAACCTGACCCTATGTCAGCTAACATTGCCCGTAGAGAAAGGCGATGGATAGGCGTACGTCAATTGATCTCCCCTCTTTACCTAGCATTCCACGCCTAACCTCAATATTGCTCACCCTATTATACCACTTCACATGAGAGATAAAACGCAGACACCTATGATCAAAGACAACTAGCTAGCGTTTTCATTTCTTCCACTCTCAATGGTCAGGTCTCACAGCTGGCAATAAAGGCGGTCGGAGCGGACTGCTGAGCAGTATACCCGCCCTTTGCTCGACAGCCAGTCGGATGTCACGTTTGCGCCAGAGACGGCATAAACTAGTATATGCGAAACTAGCCCTCTGTATCCGTGGTGAGATTTCGTCAGCGATCAGCCCGTTGGCACTGGCTGATGCAATTTTCCAAATAAGTGAAGTGGTCAACACGCTCCATCAACCACTTCACTCCCTATTTCTAAGCTAGGAGTCAGTCAATATAGTCCAGTCCAGTCCTGTAGCACCATCTTAAATTTGACAGCAGGAGCGAATCGCATGCCAAACATTCGAAGATTGCTGCTCAGCTCAAGGTGTTCAGAAGAATCTGCTGGATTTTATCAGCGTCTTCACCTAGGAGGGAGGGAGGACTATATCATCTGCATATTCTAAGTCAACGAGACTATTATTCCCTGGAGGTAACAACAAGTCAATCCCTGAGTCTCTGAAGTCATGTCAGTTATGTAGTTAAGTCCATCTGTACACATCTATGATGAAATTGAATAGAAATGCGGAAATGAAGACTAATTTACTCTATACAAACAACTTTATTTATTTATCTCAAGTAATAATTTTAATTGAAACTACAAGTTACAACAGGATTTGACATAAGGTAACTATATATGCACTCCAACATTCCAAAAGGGAATAAGAAAAAAAGGTTTTCTTCTTTTGTTTTGTCTAAATTGGTTGTTGTATAATATCACGTAGCATACGAACTTTTCGTGCAATAGATAAATCGATAAGACGATCACCGAATGTCACCACCATACCACCAATCAGCGATGGATCATGCTAAAAAAGGAAATGAAACACAAAACAAACAACAAAAAACATACTTTGAAAGAAAAAAAGAAAACATGTACAAACTTCTTTTTCACAGAAATAAGGGATACACTGAAACAAGGATATATAGGTATGGATTAGGAAGTTGTATCAGCACCAACGGATTGATTAGTGACGAAATCTCAGCACGGATCCAAAAAGCTCCAGCTGCTTTCGCTAACTTACACCATTTCTGGCGTAGGCGTCACATCCGGCCATCAACCAAGGGACGTGTGTGCTGCTAATCAGTTCGCTCCGTCCTTCTCTATGGTGGTGAGACGTGGCCATTGAGAGCGGAAGACATGAAAAGGTTGACTGTTTTTGATCATAGATGTTTACGATCTCTTTCTCACGTAAGGTGGCATAATAAGGTAAGTAATGTTGACGTTAGGCGTAGAGTGTTGGGCAAGGAGGGAAAATCAATCAATGAGGCCATAAAGTTACATAGATTGAGATGGCTAGGTCACGTGCTGCGCATGCCTAACCATCGCCTCCCCCACCGACAGGCATTACTAGCTGATATAGGTGAAGGTTGGAAAAGAGTAAGTGGTGGCATGCCAAACAAAAACATGGCATCAATCCATGAAATCCTTGACAGTTAAATCTGAGTCAGGTAGGGAGATGCAGACTTCCGGGTTGGGGCCCGCCCTCGGGACTCTAAGAATCAATGGCTGGAGACAATAGGTGACATGGCTCAAAATCGTTGTCAATGGCTTATGCAGATGTATTCAGTCTTTGTAATCGTTCATATTCCTTTCTACCATTACTCATTCTGTTTCACTCTTATACTTGTCAAAACTCTATCGATTCTCTTCACTCATTTTTTTGTCTACCTTTGTGTGCTATTTGGAACGTGGCAACTCGAACTGCTGCACTTCGGTGCCAAGTTCTATGTTGAATCCAGACAGAGACAGACAGGTATGGGGATTAGGATTTCAAAACCCGGAGAGGCATTTATTACTCAGAAATCGATGTAAAATTGTCTAATACATGCAGCGTAAACAGTAGAATCCGGATTTTGTTCAGCACTAACGTCAGTGCTTTTGAGTGGTTCAAAGATTTCACGCCTGTGTCACCAAAAGCATATTTCCAGCAACTTGCACAAAAATTTCATCAACAGCTGTCTTTACTCTATACTGAAGATCATATGACCGATCGAAAAGGACAAGAAACAAGAAACTCTGGCGACGAATCAAACAAGAACGTATTAGTATTCAAGTATTGGTTTGTAGGGATTTGGTTGATTGGTTACAGGATTTCATCATGAGCTGACATTGGAAAACCAGTCAGGGAGTACTGGATAGCTGTTTCGTCCTAGTTTGGGACTCTTCATCAGTACGCACCCACCGGGGTTCGTGACCAGTAGGGTTCAGCAGGTCGGGTGTGAGGACAAATACTCGCCATGGATGACATTGGCTAGTGGTTGCGCTATGTGGTGAATTGGCAGAAGTTAGAATTCATTGGCTGGCCATTGAATCAGGTCCCAGTGGCCTAATGGTCTACGAGCTCGCCTTGTAACCAGAAGGTTTTGGGTTCGAACCCTGCGGTGTGGGTACGTACTGTTGAAGAGTCCCATGCTAGGACGAAACAGCTGTTCAGTACTCCCAGGTTTTCCAATGGTTAACCAATATCAGCTCACGATTAAATCCTGTAACCAAAGTACCTATTAGTCCGACAAATATGCTGAGGAAAATGGAGATGGATCGGATACATACACACACACACACACACACACACACACACACACTGAAGAAACTGTTGAGTGACATCACGCGAGTCAGGTTGGTTTTCTAGTAGAATCCCAGTGGGAAACGATGATGCAGAGGTGGAATCCAAGTGTAACATGGAGGAGACTACGTGACGAGGCAATGAAAGCTGATGAGCAGTCGTGGAGTCAGCTGTGCCGAAGAACTGTAGAGAACAAAGTGGAATGGAGATGCACTGCACTGGTGAAGCCGAATGTTTCACTCGGAACCCAAGGGAATTATAATATTCAAGTGATGGTTTGCGGGGATTTGATTTGATTTGATTGGTTACAGGATTTCATCATGAACTGACCTCGGTTAAAGAACCATTGGAAAACCAGTCAGGGAGTACTGAACAGCCGTTTCGTCCTAGTTTGCGACTCTTCAGTAGCACACAAACAAAGGGATTCGGACCCAGGACCCTTCGGTTACAAGGCGAGCTTGTAGACTATTAAGTCACTGGGACCCTATCCAATGGCTAGCCTATGAATTCCAACTTCTGCCAATTCACGATATAGTGCAACCCACTAGCCGATGGCATCGGCAAGTGTTTGTCCTCACACTCGACCTGCTGTACCTTACCGGTCACGACTTTCTACTAGAATCCAAGTAACTAACTACCTGAATAGTATTTTGAAAAACAAAATCATTACCGATACATATAATCTGTTCAGCAATATAGATAGTTAAAAATAGTATAATACGCACAGGTGGCTAAGTGAATGGCAATAGCTTAAAAGTCCTCCAGTGAGTGGGTGATTGTATTGACACTGAGCCTCGAACCCGAAACCTATTGTTTAAAAGCCTAGTGGATAAACGCTTGGAATGTGAAAGGATAAATGCTGGGCTAGAGTCTCAGTGTTAACACCATCACTCACTCACTGGGGATCATAGTGCACCCAGTTAACGAGTCCCCAATAGGGCGAAATGTACTCCTGGATTCCCCTGCTAGTCATCAACCCACCAATTGGAGAAGAAACATTTCATGATGAATTCCAGTTGGTAAAAGAATCTTCGATAAACAACTTCTTCAGGCTTGATAACAAGCTGACATCAGTTGGAGAGCCGTTGAAAACCAGCAGGGAATACTGAACAACTGTTCCGTCCTAGCTTAGGACTCATCATCAGCACACACCCATCGGAGTCTGAATCTAGGGCCTCCCAGTTACACAGCGAGCTTGTAGATTATTCAACCATTGGGACCTAGAGTCCAACGGCCCAGAAAGTCCCGGGGTGAGTGCTGCTGAAGAGTCCCAAACCATCACTTCCTGGTTTTTCAATGGTTCTCCACAACTGATACCAGGCCAACATCAAACTTTTTCATCCAATAAAAAGGACAAATAAACCAAAACAAAAAACAAAATAAAAATTTACCTCTAATGTGAGTAGCAACTTTTCACCTGGTTTTAAAAATCCACTCAAAGCATTACGTAATTCACTTTCAGATGTTTTATCCAATGGTTTAGCAGTACGTACAATACAGCTAACTTCACCACGATGTGCTGTCATAATTTGATTGAATTTATCAATAACAGAGTTGATTTTAGGCAAACGACCATTTTCAGCTAGAGTAACTGAAATAAAAAAACAGAAATGGAATATAGCGAAAATATCCTCTTCTGGCTCTACAATTATATACGCATTTGTTCATATACATAGAATATTCTACAATAGTAGTCAATAACAATATTACTGTTTTTTAAACAATTCATATCTTTCTGTAAAGTAAGATCACAATGGAATTACAGTTCATCTATTAATATTATTATTATTGTTTCCTTTAGATCCTACAGGAACATAGGGCTTCAGCCGTGCATCTCCATTGTGTTCGGTCCTCTGCTAGAGTCTTCACCTGGCTCCAAGTCCGCCCACACGTTTTCATCTCCTCTTCACGTGACCTCCAAGTTACCCTCGCACTGACGACCAACTCGCCGCTTCCCTTTCGGGTTCCACTCGAGCAATGGCTTGTCTAGTGATGTCAGTCACTTGATGGTTGGGTGACAGTTGTCACTTGATGGGTTTCTCAGAGTATGTCCAATCCATCTCCATTTCTTCCTGCCTATCAGTTTCACAATCGGTTCCTGCTGGGTTGGTTCGCTCCCAGAGATCCCTCTCTGTTGCTGATCTTTTCTGGCCGGCCATCTGATCTTGAGTAGTATTGAGCGAAGACAGCTGCTGATGAAGGTCTGTAGTTTGTTTGAGGTGCTCTTCATGACGTGGCACCAAGTCTCTGATCCGTATAGTAAGTAGCACTGACTTGACATTGGAGTTGAAAATCCGGATCTTATTTTTGAACTTACTTCTTTTGGATGCACAAATTAGGCTTGTTAATATGGATCCCCACAACCTCAGCAATATTTAGTAATCGAACTCTTGAGGCAAAATTGAGATTCGTTGGTATGAGGTAAATGACCCTGAAAGTATGGTTAACGTCAATATTGTGTTCTGTTGTATCCACAAGATGAGATAGAATGGCGCTGCGAATAGATTTTGTCTGTCCTTTACTTAACCAACCACGCAGGGTGATGTTCGGAAATCCGACGAGAAACGCTTAATTCTACGGCTTATGCATCCATCTGGCTCCACAGGAGCAGTTAAATTGGTAGATACACATGGAAGAGGAGAAATTAGGCAGTCTGTCTTTTACTCCCGAACGCAAAAGAGGAGTGGTTTTGAAGACACAGCGTAATTCAGCAACAGGGAATGCTCTTTTTAACGTATTTCTATAGCACTGTGTTAGTATCTCGCTGATGTTATCCCCAAGGAACTGCATTTGTATAAAATAAGGCCTCTTTAGGAACTTTTGGTACCTTGGGCTGCTTTGATTTTAGATTCATATTCTTATCAATAAACTTTTCTCGATAGCCATTTTCACTTAGCAACCGTTTAATATTATTCAGTTGCTCATCAAGACATTCATCCGAGCAAATTCCTCTTGCTCTGTGAACCAAGTACTTTATCAGATTGCGTTTGTATTTCAAGGGCACGAAGCTGAAAAAAAATGAGTATACTGACAGTCAGTTGATGTAGGTTTTCTATATACACTTCTTCTTATTGCGCCATCCTCTTTTCTGGACATAAGGACATCTAGAAATGAGATACTACAGTCTTTTTCTTTCTCAATAGTAAAATTTATTGCAGGATGAACCTCGTTAAATTTATTCAGGATGTTCTTTGCTTCCTCCTCATTTTTCATGATCAAAAATGTATAGTAGGGGAGGGAGAGGAGGTAAAATCATCAAATGTAACCGATTACTGTGTACAGAAAAAAGGTAAATTCCATTTACAAATAAAAGTAATGGGGAAGACTGATGATAATAAGTGGTCAGCTAAATACCTTGGCACCTGGACAGCAGCAGTATTATTAAAACAAACTCGATATATTATGGGCACCAACAAGATACACCATATCAATATCTCCTAGTTTGTGCGAGGGTAGGTGTGGTTGTCGTAAGAAACCACCAACTCCGAACATTTGACTTGAAGTTTGATGCATAAGGCAGGAGGGAGTAGCGCATCAGAAGCTACGTTCCCATGGTTACCGATGACCAACACATTCCGAGGACACCACCAGGGGGCAGTATATACCTTACTTGGCTGGCTCAAACCAGCTGACAAAGGCCTCATATTAACGGATGCTAGGTTATGGTTTGACCCACCCCCCCTAACTCTTTTCCAATACAACAATATGCCAGCCAACGCTGCTCGATGAGGAAAGTGGTGGCTTGGGCATGAGTAATACCTGTCCTAACCATCTCAGTCAATGCAGTTTCACAACCTCATTGATTCACCTACTCTCCTTGCCAACACTACTACTTTACGTCTAACCTCAATATTACTCACCACATTATACCGCTTAACACTATTTTCAGATACACCAAGAGGAAATCAACAACCATGGCAAGGTTAGATGGGAAGTAACGACCGCCCACACAATCCCATAAGAATACTGTTAAAATGGTTAAGCTTCCCTGTTAGCCATGTAGTCATGATAATCTGATTGGACAGTTTTGATTTGTTTATTGATGGCTTAAATTTCCGTGGTTTTATGTAAACACATAAGACACCGCTTTTTCCCAGTCTAACGATGTTTGTGTGTCTATCTCACAGTGTGGGAGATATTTCCGTCTGATCGATCGATCGATCGCGCACCTTCCAGCCAAGTTAGACAAAGTCACAGACTAACACACATCGCTCAGTCACATAACACACACACACACGCAATGCTTTCCTGACTATCTGTCCTAAAAGTACGACGCTTAATCACAAAAAGAAAAATGAAGGATGACAGAATTAAGCGGAGTATTTTCTGGAAGAAGTTATGGGTTGGCCAATACACCCCCACTTCCGATCGTTTGTTACTCTTGCATACAAACGAAATGCCATCAGTAACCCTGATGCATCATGCTACAGCAATCTGCACAACCGACACTCGGGACGATGGAATAAGTACCTAGACTAGACTGGCCACCTCTGATTGTATCTACCAATTCAACTGCGCTTGTAGTGGAGCAAGTTATATTGGCAGTTGCTCTAGGAACTTGATTTTTCGTGCTCACTTGAGAACATCTCCCACTATGGCTAAGTAAAGGTGTAGTTAAAAGTATTAACAGCTCGATATTAGACCATCTGGTGAAAACCGGCCACAAAGCCAGCCAGCGTGGAAGAATCCTTCTCTATCATCATCTACCGGGTGCCTAATAAATTGCCAAAAACATCGAAGCACCACATGCTCCAAACAGCAGAGGCTATTGCAATTCGCCTCAAACAACCAGTGCTCTGTGTTCAAAAGAAGTAAGTTCAGCCAGCCACTTCTACTGCCCTGACTGGCCTTCAGTGGAGACAATAAATTCATGAATATTTAATATTATCTCTCCTAATTCCTCTGACATTCAGCTTATTTTATGTTTATGCTACTGAGCTGTAATCTATCAATATTATTGATTCGATTTTATTTAAACAACATTAATGTTGTTCATAACACTAATTCATTCATTCACTATAATGTATATATAACTGTAGAGCCTGATGATGAAGGCGTTATCGAAAAGAGTACTCTTTGTTCAGTATCCATTCTTTTGAAAATTTTAATGGGCATTTTTAATCAGTGAAAATAGAATACTTATTACATGGGAACAGGTACCCCGAAAAAAAATTGTTAGAGTCGCCATGAGGAGAACAGATAGAAAGAAATGCCTGCAAATGGCGCACAAGGAATGTATATATACATGACTTTACCGTCTAAAGGAGACGCATCTACTGAATTGCTGGCATCGAAATTACGAAAAATAATAGCTAAAACATTCTTTGCCACAATACTATTTTTAAAGTTCACCACTCATGGCATAATTACAATGCAGGTGAAGGATAAGCTACCGAGGCTGACCATCGTGATGTGCATTTATCAGTTTAACTGTTCATGTGGAGACATTTACATAAGCAGAACGACTCGGAGAGCTCATCGTCGCCTTCTGGAGCATTGTTCAAAGAGGTTACGTAGATGAGTAGTAAAGTCAATCAGAAGTTCCATACTGGCACACTTCGTGGTGGATACGGAGCACCAGATTGACAAAAAATTCAGCTTTTACAATTCTAAGCAGGGTGTCACTTCAACTCCCTAGTCTGGTACGTCTTCTGTTGCTAAGCATATTTGAAGCGGTTGTCATAAGGGCTTTTCAACTCAATCTCTGTGTTCAGGTAAAGTTCGTTCAATATTACTCCCTCTCTTGGCCTTCACCCCCCCCCCCCAACTTAGAATAGTTATCTTTCCTGGTGACACCGGATAACTGCTAATATTATCTAATTTTTATTTGTAGTGCCAACTGTATTATCAATATCATGCTGTGCTGTAGTTGTACATTTTAATCCCGGTTTCACAATTTATTATTATTATCTTATCTAATCGCTATGTGACAATAGTTATTCTTACGAGTTGATCACGGATTAATATCAGTTAGAGAACCATTGAAAACCAGGGAGTACTGGACACCTGTTTCCCCCACCGGGGTTCGAACCTAGGACAAGGCAAGCTCGTATACCCTTCAGCCATTGGGACCCGATTCAATGGCCAGCCCATGAATTCTAACTTCTACCAATTCGTAATTTAGCGCGATCATCAACCAATGTCATCAGTGGGACCTCACTGGTCACGACTCGTCAACCTCCTTCACCTGCCCTACCTGGGAAGTATCGTATCAACGACTGGTGGACGGAACCGATGAGGATATCAAAGCAAGAATCGGAAAAGCAAGACAAGCTTTCACTACTCTCAAGTTTGTGTGGAGGTCAACAACACTCAGCATCAAAAATAAGATCCGGATTTTCAACTCCAATGTGAAGTCAGTCAGTGCTAATATACGGATCAGAGACTTGCACTGCGCGTCATAAAGAGCATCTCAAACAAACTACAGACCTTCATTAACAGCCAGTTGTCTTCGCTCAATACTCAAGATCAGATGGCCAGAAAAGATCAGCAACAGAGATCTCTGGCAATGAGCGAACCAACCCAGCAGGAACCGATTGTGCAACAAATAGGCAGGAAGAAATGGAGATGGATTGGCTGGCCATACTCTGAGGAAACCATGAAGTGACATCACTAGACAAGCCATTACTCGAGTGGAACGCGGCCGAAAGGGAAGCGGCGAGTTGGTCGTCCAAGGGTGACTTGGAGAAGGTCATTTGAAGAGGAGATGAAAGCGTGTGGGCAGACTTGGAGCCAGGAGAAAACGTTGGCAGAGAACCGAAAGAAATGTTCCTTTAGGAATTAAAGGAAGCAATGATAATAATAATAATAATTTTAAAAAAGAATTTATGCTTACCAAATAAATTTTTGGTTGTTTCATTCACTTTTAACACACCTAAAATTCGTCCGATTTCAGTGACTTTAATCGATCGTTGTAGACTTGGATCAACACAGAATTCACGTAATTTCACATCTTTGCTTAGCGTATCTTTAATTAGCTGTAAATCTTTTTCAGTCTTGTCCAAAGATTTTTGTTTTGTAGCCGCAGAATACAAAGCTGTGGCATAACGACCTTCTACACCGAATACTTGAATTGGAGGCTATTTGTAGATAGATAGATAATAAATTTTAAAAAACAGCGAGAAAATATAAACACTCACAAAGTGTGATAGGTGCTATAGGCATCCTATTAGGCGCTTCTTCTGCTTCTATCTGTTTCATCTCATCATTTTGTTTTTTTTAATGAACTACTTAGTAGAGTTATTGCTCAGTTTGTGTAGACACGCTTAACTAAGCCTACCTTCACAAATAGATAACGGATGAGATATGAATTAAAGTTTAAATATCCAATATTAGAATGCGTTGGCTTTTTATAAACACTAGTGTGTACGTGTACCCTCTTCTGTTCATCCTATTTTACAATCTAGCATAGCTTGATATCTCATCCGTTATCTATACGTAAAGGCAGGCTTGTTTAAGCGTAAAACTTGGGCACTGTGGTAGTAAGTAATTCCATATTAGTTTGTTTATTAAGTATATCACACAGTGAAACAGTATTATTTATTGGATGACACAGTTTCGAACAAAATTTATTGTTCATAATCATATCAATTGTGATCACACGACTTTGACACTTGAGTTTTATAGCTTTCTTTGTTCTCTCCCATTTGTCGTAGGAAGAGTAGAATTTTCCAGATATCGGGGACAGGTGATGAATCATTCCTATTACATGTATTTGTAGTTGCCATGGGATCACCAATATCCCCAGTGGTAGCAGATATATTCATGGATAAATGGGAAAGCATAGCGATTAAAACGTTCACCCCCACCCCAACAGTATGGTGGAGGTATGTAGATGACACATTCACTGTACTTAGAACACAAGATATAGATGGGTTTTTCGAACACATCAACTCGAAGGTTGAAGCAATTCAATTCACTTATGAATTAGAAAGTCAGGAACAGGGGAGTTTCTAATGTTCGAGTGTAGTGTAAGAAGGAAAGAAGATTGGAAGCTAAACACACTAGTGTGTTTACAGGAAACCCATACATTCAAACAGATATTTGGACTTCCGATCATCCCATCTTATGTCAGTGAAAATAGGATTGGTGAAATGTTTAAGTGACAGAGCACAAAAACTAAGTAGTACCAAGGAAAATCTAAAACAGGAACTGATACACATAAAAGAAGCCTTGAAACTTAATAATTACCCTGATAAATTAGTCAAGAAATATGTAAGAAAATGTAAAAATAAAATGAATAATGATAGCAGCGATAGTGATAATAACAATAATAATAATAATATTAATGACGACACCAATAATAAGGAATCTAAATCATCACTAGTAACTCCATACAAGGAAGGAACCTCGGAAGCCTTACGCAGAATTCCTAACAAAGCAGGAATAAAAACGGCATTCAAACCCACAAACTCATTTAGAAACAAGCTTTGTCGGTTAAAGGATCCTGTAGAGCCTTTAAAACAAAACAATTTAGTTTATCTAATACCCTGCAATGATTGTCAGGTCAAATACATAGGTCAAACTAGTAGAACAGGGTCAGTCAGTCAGACTAGCTGAACATAAAAACTTAGCAAAATCTAGATTGGTTGACCCGAATAAAATAAGAAATCTAGAGAATAGTTCAGCTATAGTACTCACTACATGCAGTCACACACAACCATACAATAGGATGGGATAGGATGACAGTTTTAAAATCTAATGTCACAGGGTATAGGGAGAGATTGATAACAGAAGCTTTGTTTATTGAATCAACTGCAAATACATGTAATAGTAATGATTCATCACCTGTCCCCGATATCTGGAAAATTCTACTACCCATACGACAAATAGGAGAGAACAAAGAAAACTACAAAACTCAAGTGTCAAAGTCGTGTGATCACAATTGATATGATTATGAACAATAAATTTTGTTCGAAACTGTGTCATCCAATAAATAATACTGTTTCACTCACTGTGTGATATACCTAATAAACAAACTAATATGGAATTGCTTAAGCGTGTCGAACATCGCCCATTGTCGAGGAAGGCGATGGCTAGAGATGTGTGCGTAACACATGTCCTAACCATCTCAGTCGATGTAACTTCACAGCCTTGTGTCTATTGATTTCCCCTCAAATCTCAATCTTTTTCCTTAGGTTGAGTACACTAGATTTCCAAAATGATTTCAGACTAATGAAGGTTTGTTTTGATCATTTTTTTGCAATCCTGTCTGCCTTTGACATCCTCATTTATGCCACTGACTGTAGTTGAAATAATAAACCTGCTTAGATAAGTGGAAGAGACGACTTCCTTTATATTTCTTCCATGAATGGTGATCGATGCCTGTTGTTGTTGTTGTGGTGGTTGGTTGGTTGGTTAGATATCTATCTGACTTATTCTAAATGCCTAGTGAAACTTTGAAATTAAACAGGATTTCATCATGAGCTGACACATTGGTTAGAGAACCATTCGAAAACCACCTGGGAGTACTGGACAGCTGTTTCGTCAGCCTAGTATGGGAATCTTCATCAGTACGAACCCAGGCCCTTCTGGTTACAAGGCAAGCAAGCTCGTAGACCATTAAGCCACTGAGACCCGATCCAATGGCCCAGGGATTCTAACAACTGCCAACTCACGACATAGCGCGACCGCTAGCCAATGTCATCAGCGGCGAGTATTTGTCCTCACACCCGACCTGCTCTACCCTACTGGTCACGACTTCTCAATAGAACCCCAGGTAACTACCTATCTAAATAGGGCTATTGGTCGCGCTATGTCGTGAATTGGCAGATGTTAGAATACATGGGCTAACCATTGGATCGGATCCCAGTGGCTGGTGAATGGTCTACGAGCTCGCTAGCCTTGTAACCAGAAGGTCCTGGGTTCGAACCCCGTGGTGTGGGTGTGTACTGCTGAGGTGGAGTCCCAAACTAGGCTGACGAAACACCTGTCCAGTACTCCCTGACTGGTTTTCCAATGGTTCTCTAACCAATATCAGCTCATGATGAAATACTGTAATCAATCAAATCCCTACAAACTAACACTTGAATAAATAGTATGTATTATAGCTAAAATTATCACATACTGACACAATTCAATATAGTAAACAAAAAAATTATTAACTCTTTGATACTTACCTGTACAAGTTTTAGGGTTGGAGAGGAGGTACTGAAACGACGGACCTAAAATGTACACAGAGAGAGAGAGAGATTAATCCCTTGACATCGAATGAGGACACCAAGCAAACCCACAAAGTAAGTTCAAAGTCGTCTACAGAATACGTGGGAATCTTGCTTTAAAAAAAATTACGAATCAAACTTCTTCAAGCCGCGCAAAAGCAATGCCTCCAAAGCCTCAGGATGGTCGGGGGTGGGTGCCTTGCGCTGCGGGTCGGCCACCCCTCCGCACACCTCTTGAAATGCTCCCATATGACCAGGCGTCTTACATAGCCTCTCCTGAGGAAGTCCTACTCACTGCCTTCACGTGGCGGAGGTTTTTTCACCAAAGTGAGAGGGCGAAAGCGGATGCCCGGCGCTCTTCACCGGGTTGACTGTCCATTGGATGACAGTCTAGGGGAGATGGCTAAACCCTGATTCCAAACCTCCAACGACAGACGTATGAAGCTCACCGGCAGACGTATGGACAAAGGGCTTGTTGGATGTCCTGGATGTCTGGCCCCATTCAACGTGGCGTATGAACCGAACTCCGGTCACCGACTGCCAATGGATAGTGGACTCCCTACTCCACTCCTACTGCCTTGTAGGTCCCACTTGGTTGTGTAAAGGCTAGAGCTGCACTCTCAAACAAAAGGCCGAGCGATTCTGGGGACATCACTCGTATCAAATTCCCATGAAACTTCATGAACTCTCTTACAAACGATTCGAGATGTTCATGAAGCCGGCTTATCCTCCTGTAGGAGATAGCCGAAGTAAAGTAAAGTAAGTACTTGTTAAGAAACCTGAACTCTGCATACAAAAGGGGAAGTTTGTTCAGTGAGTGAACTTGACCTATCTTAACACCAAATAAGTAATTTTTGTTTCTTCATCTTTTTCTTGCTTGTTTGTTTTTTAATTGTATATTTTCTAGCCCCACCCCAGACACACACACCCCTTATTACCGCTGTTGTTAATTTGACTTTTGTTTATTAATTCTAAATTTAGCTGAGCTCTACTCAAACCCGTCAATTAGATTACGTTACTCACTCAACCTGCTTATTTAATCTTATTTTAGTTTCTAACGAATTCATGAAATTTATTATCTAAAATTATATTTTATATTTTTTTGATTACAGCTTGACTCCACACCGTATTTTTCGGTACATGTATGGAATTTTCAGCATGTGATATCGGTAGCCCAAATTTTGCAGGCCGACCAATTGATATCAGGTGTGCGTCGGCAGGGGATCGAACCCCGGACCATGTGCATGATCAGCGAGAGTCATAACCGCTGTGCCACCGACGCACACACCCTGTTTTGTGCTTCATGCCGTACAAACTTACTGATGATTTTCGCATACCTTCTATGTTTGGTGTCCTTCGGTAATATAGAATATATATATACACATATATGTACCCCAGAAAGAGGATAAGTCATGACGTTGCAACTGTACGTTAGTTATTCAGTATTTAATTGTTGTTCTGTTGTTTCCTATAAATATACGATCTGGTAGGGCCGAGGATGAAGAAACTTAGGTTTTCCTGTCAAGATGCTCTCCTGTAGTCATGCAATCAACTCCTATTAAATGGCTTCACACGGCAACGATTTCCCCCCACAAAAACTAAAGGGAGGATGAGAACGTTTGGCATCTACAACCGGACTGGCGGACATGCTGCTGGTCTCTATCTAAGAAAGCTGGAAAATTCTCATTAAAAATCTATCGTGTACACCTTGACTCCAGAATCCGAAAGGATTGAACAGCATATGAACTTACTTTGGCCACCGTAAACTATGGGAACATAACTCCTGATTGCATTCCACTGCCTTGTAGATCAGACTTTAAGTCAAAGGCTTAGGGATGCCAGTCGATCACTTAAGGGAACCACCTGCTTCAGTCTTGGCTTTCGGGCAGTATCTTAACCCTAGCACAAAGTCTCATGTCGGTCGGTTTTCGACATAGAACTTTGCACATATGTGCAGCAGTTCAAGTCACCACCCTCCCTCCATGTAGCACACAAAGCAAGAGAAGAAAGTAGGAGAAATGCATAATTTAGACAGTAAACAGAGGTGTGAGACAAAGGAATAGTAATAACGAAGAAAAAACAGTTTAATTGGAAACCATAAATCACAAGGAGTGGATGCATCTGCACCAGCCATTGAGAACGATTTTGAGCCATGTCGTCAATTGTTTCCAACCATTGGTTTTTACCGTCCCGAGGACCCCAACCAGGAGGCCAGTCTACGCCTTCCTACGTGGCTTAAACTAACTGTTGTAGATTTCATTGATTGGTGCCATGTTTTAGTCTGACCGCTGCTAGTTCTTTTCCAGCCTGACCCTATATCAGCTAACTTTGCCCATTGTCGAGGAAGGCGATGACTAGGCATACGTAACACATGTCCTAACCATCTCCGTCCATGTAATTTCACAGCCTCATCGACTGATTTCCCCTCCTTACTTAGCACTCGACGCCTAACCTCAATATTGCTCACCTTATTATACCACTTCACACAGGAAATAGAAAGCAGGCACCTATGATCGAAGACAGCTAGTCTTTTCATGTCTTCCGTTCTCAATGGCCAGGAAAATTCTGATTATAAATCTATCGTGTACACAGGCTCCAAAATCCGAAAATAGCATATGAACTTACTTATGGGAACATAACTCCTGACGGCATTCCACTACCTTGTGGATCGGGCTTTAAATCAAAAGCTTAGGGATGCTAGTCGGTCCCTTAAGGGAACCACCTGCTTCAGTCTTGGCGTCTGGACAGTATCTCAACCCTAGCAAAAAATCTCATGTGATTTCTTGTGGCGCATTTCTTGGTGCCCATAGTATAACAAGTCTGTGATTTAATACAAAAAAATTTTTATAAAATATGCTAATGTTAACTCCTTGTTCTAACCCATCCTATTTTCACACTATCTGAAGAAAGGCGATTTGGAGCAATGAAAAATGGAGTCTTTCTGAGCAGCCGGTACCCTATTCGGTAGAGGAGTTGAATTAATAGAAGGAAGGCAAGATAATAGAGATGAAGGTAAAGACAAAGATGAGTGAGGATTAGAGAGGTTTCGCGTGCATTTCGGATTGTGAGGGCGATTGTTACTTCCCGGCTGCCCACACCGTGGAAGTTGGTTGCGTGACCGCAGAGCCCAGGGGACAACTGCTTGAGGCCAGTCACACGCGGCCTGCTTTTGTTTGTTCTTTCTTGTGTGGTGTGTCTCAGTAGCATATTTATCACTTCTGCCCTGTGACAGCAGCAGGAAGCGCGGTCGTTGTTAATCCGAGCCCCGACCGATCCGGCATGATGTTTTGTGATTTACTTTGAGTCATAGCATTGGGTTGGGTAACTGCTTTTTGTCTAACCGCCATCCAAACAACCTTTCTGGCATGGTAGGACCTCAAGCGACATAAGTCTCAGCCAGTATAGCTTGTTGGGTCATTGCGGTGTTCAAACCCGACCACCACGTCAAGGTAGCAGCTTTCAGTTGGTAGGACATTACTTCTAATGCTCAAAGTGAGGAGAAAAGTCAATATGACACAATAATATGTTTAAGATTCAAAAAAGATAATAAATAAACACATTTGTACCGCTGTAATCTCCCACAAATTCGTAACCGACTCATCATCCTTAAAACACTAAACCAGGTTACAAGACTATAATGTGGGCAGTCGCACAACACGCATTGTCAGAATAAACATAACAGGAAACTAGTGTGTGCAGCATATATGACATGTTTCGAGCTGTAATTGACCATTCATCTCCTTAGTTAGCACATCACTAGCCTCCAACCAGGGATAATGTAAACCAGAGGACAGGTACAGCAGGCCCAGCTCATCTAGCTTAATTGGTGTAGACGGTTTTTAAAGTATAAATGCCAAGAAAATGAAAGAGAAACTCGGAGTGCTTACACAAAAAGAATCCTTCAAACCGAGGTTTGAGATACATCTCAACTATATGAATGCATCGTTTGGTTTTAATGCTGTGTAGCAGTAGTAGTTAAACACCTGGACAATCAGGCGGCATCTTAAGTTTGAAACGCATATGAGTTTCTGGCTTACTGCGTCAAAAAGACACCCAATATCACGTGGTATATTTATTCAGTCGGAGTATGGTATTAATTTATCTTATGGTGATGACAGGTTTTTCAATTAAGACATCAATTTCTAAGTTGCATAGACGGATATGAAAGTGATATTATTGCCACCACTGTCATAGTGTATACAGGGTGTTTGTTGGTTTCTTTTTGGCAAAATGGCTTATTTATACTTTTATTCTAATTGTTGCAGGACAGTATTCGACCACATAAACACCACAGAGTAAATAGTTCTCTATGGCTGGTTTCTAAGGGTTAGTTTTGTTTTTACGAGTTGATCACGGATTGATATGAGTTAGAGAATCATTGAAAACCACGCAGTACTGGACAGCTGTTTCATCCTAGTTTTTGGGAATCATCGGCAGTATGCACCCACCACCAGGGTTCGAACCCAGGACCTTCCGGTTACGAGGCAAGCTTGTATACCATTCAGCCACGAATCGCCATTGAATCGGGTCCCAGTAGCTGAATGGTATACGAGCTAGCTTGCCTTGTAACCGGAAGGTCCTGGGCTCGAACCCTTTTGGTGAGTGTGTACTGGCGATGATTCCCAAAAACTAGGATGAAACAGCTGTCCAGTACTGCGTGGTTTTCAATGGTTCTCTAACTGATATCAATCCATGATCAACTCGTAAAAAGAGTAAATACTGTCAGAAATAGAGTTAGTGTTGGTTAAGGAAGATAAATGTTCCAATAAGATTGAGAATCTTCATCAACTAGATTGAATGAGAAATGTCAGATGTATACCAAACCCCTAGTACATTTTCTAAAAGAGCATTTTCAACTGAATTCGGCCTAGATTCAAAATAGTCAGTGTAGTGGTCATATAGAGAACACAGTATTAACTCAGTTATTACCTGTTGATTTTAACAGTGAATTGCCTTGCTGATGCTGTCAAAACACTAAGAAGTACGGTTAGAAATCCTCAGTACTAGTGTATAATCAACCAGTGACACAGATGTACATATATCTTATCATCGAAATCTTGAACAAGGGCACCAGTTACTTGACTGCAAGTGTTTGTAATACTGCCTAGGCTAGTTACAACCACCATATGAGCAGTGTAGGAGTTGAGTGTAGTATCATGCGAGGTAGTTAAAGAAACAATAGACCTCTAGGGTTAGAAAAAGTTAAGTCATGTTACACATATCTACTCACGATCCACGTCAGTGTGCTATTTGTGGAAACAGGATTAAGATGAAAAAAAATTGGAAAGATGGGCATTAAACCATGAAGTTGATGACTGTTGATGTGACCTCTTTAGATTACCTTGCAGCTGTCTACTTTACAAGGAAAAACCTATGGTCACAGAATCTAGGTGAAATGAATTACAATCAGTTAGTTATGCAGATGGATGGAAAGGCTACATTTATCTGTACTGAGATACAACATCTCCTTCGCTTTTCTTATCTCACGGCACTGTACGAAGAATGAGATAATACTTAACATCTATGTGTATGTTAGTGAACTTGGCTTCGGTTTGATAACAGCTGCCGTAATCTTGGTAAGTGGACCGAAGTTTAAGCCCATGACCAGGTGGGTAAAAGCCACGGGATCCGCAGTTTGCCAAATTATTTGCGCATTTCCATGAGTTTTTCTTATCATCACCTTTTAGATGATATTCAGATGAGGCTTAACAACTTAGAATAGGTAGTAATTTGACTTTTACATTTAGCTATTTCTGGCAGAAATCGCTTGCCCTTCGGAGGACATTTTAAGCGACTCCATTGCAGTCGGAGATTTCTTCAGCTTTGTATGAATTGCATAAAATTAGTGGTCAGCATTGACAGTCCTTTATCGAACTGCTAGACATTGTTTACAACTTAGTATATAGCTGAAATATGTATGTAATAACATGGCTGGTGTGAACAATCACCTTCCTACCCCACCTCCTTAACTAGCTTTAAAGGCTTTTGTCAAAGCAGTTTAGATGGTCACCACAGTTCATTACTTAAGTACCCAGTTCACAAATAGTGCAATCATCAACAACATCTACGACTCATTATACAAAGTTCAATGCAGTACTGGTTCCAATGTAGAAATTTCAGTTTAAACCAACATGCAGCTTTGGGCCAATTTAGCGTAAATAAGTTCATATACCTACAGTAGGCGATCACCTGCTCGATCATAGTAATGTAGCATGTTATTGAGACTATGAGCGCAAATTTTCCACTGACTCAGAAGCCAGTACATGTAATAACACTATAATATTAGTGAGATAAACCAAAAATGTTAGGCATCTCAACAAACTCAGCTTTATTGTAAACGTACAAAATTGTTCAGCATATTTGCAGATTCAAACACCCTCCACTAAAAGGCTTGCCACAACTTGTTCAATCCAATATCGTTTTTATGACTGGACTTATATATCACGTTCTGTTGAAATTTCGCTTCAAGATTTTTTTGTCAATAAGCTGTAATAAAATTGTGTTATATGTTATCTGGATTGATGGTAATTCCCATTTCCTGACTAGTTATGTTGGTGTCATGTGATCTGACTGCGACACACTCTTAGCATATTGGTTGCAATGATTAGTGTTTCAGGTGAAAGGTGTCAAAATATTGGTATAATGAGGAAGACAGGATGGTTGTAGGTAAATGTTTCTGATCTTCAGTAAACTTCTGCACTCTGTGTCTTACCTCTCAACTTTGGTTTACTCTTTAGCGGTAAATAATTCCCCAAAATTATTGGCCACAACATTCATCACTGAACCTTGGATGCTGACCCTCACTGTTTAAGTCAACTTGTTTGCTGAAGGCTTCCGGTCAACCATCCACGCCATTTGGTACTCCGTTGTGTTATGTTCGTTCGTTCGTGTACGATCCCTAGCTTAATATATTTATTTTCGAATATTAAAGTACAAGATTCGGTTCTACCCAAGGATCTTCCTTGCTGGACTTAGTGCTTACTCATGACAACGACGACGTGGATGGTCTAGTTATTCATCCACCTCTAGCAAACAGTGATCATGGGGTGTTAGATTTCAACTTAAGGGCTGGCAATTTAGTCAGCTTTCAACCCAAATCCCGACCTAGTGTTTGGCATGCTGACATAGTCGCTATAAAGGAGCGTGCCTCAAATGCCGACTCGTCAGTCAATATTGTCTCATCCATTGAAGATGAATGGGATAGATTTAGGAATACACTTGAGAGGGTTACCACTGATTTCATTCCCTGGAGGGTTCCTAAAAGGCCAACAAATCGGCCACCATGGATAAATAGACAAGCTATAGCACTCCTAAGACGGAGAAAAAGGTTCTGAAATCTCTTTGTTTCTACTGGGCTACCACAGCAGTTACGGCTGAAATACTGTGAAACCAGAAACCAGTGTAAAACTTTGATTCACCAGTCAAGGGTAGCTTACGAAACCCAGTTAGTTAAAAGTTCACCAAGCTGCCCGAAAAGACTCTTCTCATATATCAAGAAAAGAACACGTAAGAGTGATGCTATCCCACCTCTTATGCTTGAAGATGACCAGACAAACATGGCTGAGGATAACTTGACTAAGGCTGAGGCTTTGTCCAAGCACTTTAGTCAAGTATTCTCTGATAATATTGATACCAGCTTTGTAACTTTTCCAGAAGGTAACTTGAAAATGGCACCCTTATACATTGGAAAGGACACTGTCCTAAAGTGGCTTCTAAGGCTCAACCCTGGTAAGTCCAGTGGCCCTGATGAACTCCACCCACGTATATTAACAGCATTGGCTGAAAACATAGCCGAGCCATTGTCGGTAATCTTCAATATGTCTCTGGACCAGTCTAAATGTCCAAGAGACTGGAAAGATGCCATCATTAGTCCGGTCTTCAAAACCGGATCTAGAAACTTAGTTCAGAACTATCGTCCTGTTAGTTTGACCAGTATTGTTGTTAAACTACTAGAAAGAATAATTCGTGATGCTATCATTCAGTTCACTGAAGGGAACAAACTTTTCACTGTGGAACAGCATGGTTTTAGAGCAGGTCATTCTTGCTTGACCAACCTTCTTTTGGCCAGAGAAGGTTGGGCAAGCTCAGCTGATGCTAATATACCGGTGGATGCCATATTCATCGACCTTAGCAAGGCGTTTGACAAGGTTTCTCATTCAGGTCTTCTAGTAAAGTTAAGTAGTCTGGGAATCAATAAAGTGGTTGCCGACTGGATTCAAGACTTTCTAAAGGACAGAAGACAAAGAGTACGAGTTAACGGGGTTTTATCAACATGGGAATCGGTTAAGAGTGGCGTTCCTCAGGGTACAATTCTAGGCCCACTTCTTTTCCTGATTTATGTTAATGAGATTCCATCGGCAGTTAAGTCATCCTGCTTACTGTTTGCTGATGACATCAAGATATGGAGGGCTTTACACGATGACAGTGATCAAATTGCTTTGCAGGAAGATTTAAACTTGTTAAGTGATTGGTGTAAGCACTGAGCCTTGGAGATTAACTTAAGCAAGAGTGTAGTTATGCATGTATCTCATAGTCACGTGCACAATTACTCAATGAACGGCATTACTCTCCCAGTGGTCACTGAGTACAAGGACTTGGAAGTGGTTGTGCAGCATGTCTTGAAAACGGCAACAAACTGTAGAGCTGCAGCCACTAAGGGTTTTCGAATATTATGGGCCATACGCAAAGCTTTTGCGAACTTTGACGCTGAAATATTTCGTATATTATATCCGACTTATATCAGACCTCATTTGGAATATGGGATCCAGGCAGCGAGCCCGTGTTTCAAATACGAAATAGACTTATTAGAAAGGGTGCAAAGAGTAGGAACTAAGCTAATAAAGGGTTTCTCAACCCTCTCATATGAAGAGAGGTTAAGTCGACTGGGTTTATTTCCACTGTCATACAGACGACTTAGAGGTGACCTAATACTAGCATACCGTATCCTAAGAAATGATTTTGGAGCTAATTTATCTAATTTATTTCTTCCTTCTAGCACCAACCAATTGCGAGGACATCACCACCTCAAGGTTCAAAAACCATGGTCGAATCGTCTGCGTCTGGAGATCCGTTTTTCGCATCGAATTGTGAACCATTGGAACTCCCTACCGGAACACGTCGTATCAGCGCCATCCGTTGATTCATTCAAGGCGAGATTGGACCTCCTGTGTGTAATAAATCGAAAGGATTAACACAGGCATATAGCCTACTATCCTAAATAAATTGTAAACTGTAAACTGATATTCAAACTGAGTACACACACAAAAAAATAAAATACAATAATACCTAAAATCAATGGAAAAATAAGCACAAAATAATGATTCCTAAATTACACAAGTAACCTTCGTACAGACAAATAAATATATGAACGTAAATTAGTCAATTAACCTAGTAAAATAATAAACACAAGTGTAGGAAAATTAGCACAGCAGCCCGTGTTGAACCCAATAATGTGTACTTTTTCTGCAGCACAATCAGTTAGATGTGTTTGTGCATATATGTGTAGATGTGATTGATTGTTTATGTCGTATGTTGATGTGAGATATTCGTGAGTGGTACAAAAGTATGATTTTTAATAACGTATGTCTACAGAATCATCAAATGTAAAACAAGTCTCTATTAATTTTGAGCATAATATATTTTCATTTTTGTACATGAGGGACGCCAGTTTACAGGTATCATCAATTCGATAAATTACACATACGATTAGTAAGCATAGTTAGTAATGATATTATAATAAGGCACACCTTTATTCCTACCTATGTAGGACACAACAACTGTATAGGCATGGGTAAGTGTTATTTAAATAACACATTTAAAGTGTATGATTTACGGCTAAATTACATGGTTGCTGTCATTTTGTCTTCGATTTGTGAGAAAAATTTGATAACTAGCCTGTGAATGTTGTTTGCATGTATGAATCATGGGGTAGCATAGACAGTTGAATGTAGCAATAGTATTTAACATCGGGAGAGGTTTATAACGGCAATATGCTCTATGCGTGTATGTAGTATGGAACAATTAGAATACATAGAATAAACAAAGTTGTCAGGTGTTTTAGGAGGATAATAACAGTATTATCGGTTCAAGGAGTATATATATGTATGAGTGTCACAATGTGTCTCGCATGTGTGTATTATGCCAAATGGTAGTAGAGTAAACGGTGAAAAAAGTATTCCTATATGGCAATAAATTTACAATATCACTGGTTCAATTCTTTTCTACGTCTGAGTCCATACGTTCCACGCATGTATGTATCGTAGATTTTCAAGGAGCCTTTAATGGTTGAGATGCACAGATGTGAAATGTCGAAGGAGGTGAAAAAGAGTCTGCGAAGGTATTTTGTAGAGAGGTGACTGATCATCCCTCGATAAGAGATTACAACAGGAATTTTCATGATTCTCTTAACTGTATGTCCCATTGTGGGCAGGAATCTTTTACAAGCAGCAACCACCGTTGGAGCTTCGTATTTTGACATCTTCGACTCATAATAAATAAATAAATTTATTCTCATAGTACAGTACATGAGGGACGCCAGTTTACAGGCATCATCAAATTGTTACAGAAATAGAACCATATAATTCAATTCAATACAGGCAGTAGGAAGATATGCTTTACATGTTCGCTGGAGATTATACATACACTTGATAAATGTTAATCCAAGTAGTATAAAACAGCCTTTTCACTTATATACAATCATTTCTGTGCAAAGTTGGAAAAATCTGCTAGATTGTCAGTGAGTGCAACACAACAGGAAATACAGGAGTATTGTCTTCGCATTAACAAAAAAACCAGGTCTTTGGTGGATGGATTATAAGTGCCTGGGAAAAAAATGAAGCTTGAAGTCAATTTTCATACATAACTTTGTTGTATGCAGAGTCCTTGAATTATAGTTCATTGATGTGTTATTTTGAAGTCAGTGATTTGTTTATCTCATTTGATCCGAAATGTCATTGTTGGGAGTAAATACATAAGCTTCAGACGCATTAATTAATGGATTTCTACTGCTAGTGGGTATTTTCTTAGCGTGAGGAAGGTTTATGAATTTCAGCTGTTCCGACAGGAGTTGAGAATATTAACTGCTCAGCAACATTATGGATATAAGTTCACCACATTATCTTAGGAAAGGTTGGTTGTAGTTGGTGAGGTATATATAGTGCCCAACTAGCGTACATCTGTCCATGTGATGTTGTGGTGAGCTATACCTTTTTCATGTTATCGGTTTATGTCAATTTTATTCCACTTATTGTGTTGGGTAGAAGTTTTACAAACGAAATTTCTTGTCTGTTTGAGGGTACGTATCTTAACCGTTAATGTTTTATCTAAAATTATAAATATAGGCAACGCATTCACAGATGCTGTTTATATATATTGTGAATAGGAGTGGGCCTAATACACTTCCCTGGATTACACCACTACTTACTGGTTTAGGCCTTGAGATTATCGAGCCAACTTTCGTTGTCTGACTTCAGCCACAGAGAAATGATTTTATCCAGCTCAGGA